CAGAGATCCAGGACCCGGGATGCATTCTCTAATCTTGAGGGAAAACCCTACTGAATCTTAAAATACATATAGTTTGGCCTTTTCACTTTGTACACCTCCTGTGCACATTTTACAAACACAACCTCCTTATTTCATGACGCTAACCATGGCCTCTGCTGGTCACATCTCTGCTCAGTCACCTCCCCAGGCCCTGCACAGACAGAGGGTCCCAGACATCTGTGCACAGGGGGATCTGGGCCATGGGGAAAGGGGAGACCCCAGAATCAAGACTCCTGCCAAAGTTTCTCACCCAAATGTGATGCCAAGACCAAGCTGCCGTTTACCTTTGAGCCCACCACCCCACAAACAAACAAAACAGATATAAACCTATGACCTAGGTGTCGTTTTCTGTGTCACATCACAAGATTTCATTTCTGTGTCACCTCATAGGATTTCAGTTTTACCACTTCTCCCCATGGCCCCGAAGGGAGCACAAGCCATAGCAGGCCGCAGCTAAGAGGTTTCCACATTTAAAAAAATAAATAAAAGGGCCGGGGATTTAGCTAGTGGTTCCGGCGCCTGCCTCGCAAGAGCAAGGTCCTGAGTTTGATCCCCGGTACCAAAAAAGATAAATAAATAAATAAATAAATAAATAAAAGATACGACAGTAATTTAAAAAAAAAACACCTTATTTTGAAAACAAATATTATTTGCCAACAGAATCTTTTGGAGGACCAAGAAGTGTGGCAGGGAAGGTTCCCTCATCACCCAGGGAGGGTGGCAGTGTCACAGTGGTATCCGTTACAAGAACCCACACCCCAGGCCCTGTCCCCCTAGGAGGTCCACAGCCAGGGGCAGCTCTAACACGGTGCCCATGCAGACACGCACATGGAGGCCTCAGAGGGACTTGTGCTCACTCTATGAATTTAGAACATATCCATTCAGGACTAACTCAGGGCCAGGCTTGTCACAAGTCACAAAAACACCCTGTGGTGCTAGAAGGGTGTTTGAGGGCCCGTGTGCAGCTTCTCTAGGTCCTGTCAGACTCCCACATTCATCTGAGCACAGGATCTGGGGAGGACCAGATGATTCTAGAAAACCACAAACACGGCCCAAATGGCCCCATCAAAGCCCCAGTCCCTGCCCTCTGCGGACCCACCCTCCCTCTTCCTAGTCCCTGTTTCTCACTTTCATTTGGTGACCCTGCTGCTGGTAGACAAAGGCCAACAAGGCCTGGCCTGAAGGAGGTCCCATCTGGCCCATGGTCCAAAACCTGGCCACTTCTCCTCACAGAGCCTTTAAAAAATATTGCAGAAGGAAAAAAACTTTTGAAAGTTTAAACTCCACTCGACAAAGAAAGCCAGACATGCCCACAGAAATTTCCCAAGAGCCGCAGGTCAGGGGCTTTCTTTTTTTTTTTCCTATAGATCTCTGTCTCTAGCTAGGTGTCCACAGCCTGCAATACCCAGACACTGGGGTTCCACCGAATGTCCCAGCCAATGTAACACTGGTCAACCCCGAAAACAAATATTTCATATAAAAGATCCATTGTCTCTGCTTGGAGACAATTGTCGCTTTTTCTCTCTCTGTGGCTCTATCCCATCACAAGGCATGACCAGGGCCACTTAGGGTTCCTTCTTGTTCCTATGAGATGTTTTGAAAGGGCAATCAGGCTGGGTGTTCCTGGACAATCCACTGAGAGATGAAATCCTCCAAAGCAAGCCATTTGGTAAATGTTCTCTTGTACTGGGCCAAGGAACAATCAGCTCTCTAGGGTGGCAAAATTCTCTGATCAAAATGCCACCTGCATGTCCAGGAAGGACAATGGCAGCTGGTGTAGCCACTTTGGACCCTGAAGGGGAGTGAAGGTAAGACCCTGAACCTGCATGTGGGTGACTCCCTGAATGGCATCCTCAGGGAAGTTCCCATCCTTTCCTAGGAAGGAGCACCTCTGCCATCAGTACATGTGGGTCCAAGGGAACCCTATCCTATGTCCTGTACCTAAGGTGAGGTACAAAATTATCCAGGCAGTCATGTTCACAGTGAGTTCCAGGACAAGGAAAGTGCTGGCTTTGCCAGCTCCTCCCAGTTCACCCCTCCAAAGCCACTAAGTCCACATCTGCTACCACCTGCAGGGCAGGGATGTAAACAACTTCATGCCCGTGCCTGGGAAACCAAAACTGGGATCTCTGTTTCTCAGAATATGATACTATACATGAAATAATAATAAGTGGTAACAATAAACAAAATATATTTGTAACTAGAGGCCTTGTTACTTACAACGAGGACCAAGACAGAAGCCACTTAATGCCCCCAGACATGTGTCAGGAACAGTACTTTATGGAAACAATGTTTGAATAATGTCGGTATCCATATTTCTGCTTTAGAGCTTAGGGAACTTCTGGCTCCCGGAGGTGATAGGACTCACCCAATAGGTCACACAATGAAGCAGACTTGAGCTCAGGATGCTTGGGCTCCAGGCCCTGCTGTGAGTGTGGACGCTCCTGCTTGCTGAGATTTCCGTAAGAGTCTTCCTCCTCTCTAACATGCAAATGTACCTTCAAAACCCAACCAGGGCAACACACAAGTGAGCAACAGTGGCTTCTTGTCCTTTCCTTCCCAAACACCGCCCCTCACTGAGGACACAAGAGGCTCTGCCGGACAGAAGGACACATCTGCCTGGCTGGAGCCCATCTGAGTGGGCAAAGACCTTCGAACCCCTCTCTGCTGCCTCCTAGTATGACCTCATCCATGCTGGGCTGGGACAGGCTCCAGGGCCCCGTGGGGGACGGAGCGAGGGAGTTTTACAGAGAGGCTGCCGGGCAGCTGCAAACCACGGGGATGGAAAGCAACGCCTCTTTAGAGCCCCATGCCGGCCCTGCTGGGCAAAGCCAACGGCTGGCTGCACCTGCTTGGGTAGTGGGCACAAGACCCAGCCATGGTGGAGCTGCTGGTGGGCCTCATGGATGAGCCTGGCTGGGGCCTTTGCCAGTGGCCTGGAGACCCCTCATCCAAGCAGGTCTTCGGCATGGCAAGGGCCTGGCATAAGCAAGAGGCCACCCTGGGCTTGGCCCTTGTTTAACAAAAAAGCCGAGGCCCATCCACCCACCAGCCCATGTTGCAGTCCATTCCTCCAGGGCCCTGTGTATCCCGCTCCTTACATAAAATCTGGCTGTGAGAAAAATCAGACAAGCACCACTTCCGTTTCCAGGGCCTCCTCCTTTGTGGGTGTGTGTCCTCAAAATAAATGTGGACATAGTGTTTTCCAGCATGGTAAGGTGGCCTGGCCAGGCCCACTGTGCACGGAAGACTCAACCCGTCCCCTTCTGTAGACCCGGGTACTCTGTGGCAGTTTTGACGAATGACAGCCTCACTCTGAGGCCCAGGGACTGCCTGCCTCCTCGGGTCCCCAGCTTTGCTGCTTGCCTTGGGTGCAGCCCATTGGCCTGGGGAGAGGGAGAGACGGTGCCCCTTGTCATGAGGTCTGTATTAATCCTGGGCAATACCCAATGGCCTTAGCAGGGTACCACACCATTGCTGCCCAGCAAGCACTACGGCAAGGGCTTCCTGTGGACCAGGGAAAACATCTCCAGCGTCCTGCAGGTGAGGCTGCCATGGAACCTGAGCTTTGTATGACTAATCTCACCACTGCCAGCGCCATGCCAAGCAGCAGCTCCGGCCAGACTGGCATGCCTTCAGCAGCGGCACCTCTGCTTCTGAGATCACCCTGAAGGTCCCACCCCATTTCATGTCTGCCAGCTGCCTCTGATAAAGTGATAAATAAAAATTCAAAAGCATGTGGAGGGAGGGCAGGGGAAAGCAGGCTAGCACAAAGATGGCCTCTGAGGACAGAAACAAACTTCCAGCTTCTGCCATAGCCGGCCAGACTGCTGAAATAGTCTCCTCATTCCTTGGGGTTCTCGCCTAGGAGCAAGGGGAACCAAGTGGCCCAGAAAGAGGAAGGCCTGTCAACTCAGGCCCTCCCTGCATTCCCCGGTTGTCAGCCCAGGACACTGGGGTGTTATGGGAAGAGGCTCCCACCCCATGACTGTGGTGAAAGCACCCAGCCAGGTAAACCAAATCACATCAACAGGGTGCCGAGGGCAGAGGGGAAATCGCACCTGTGGCCCAGTCGTATTAAAATTTAGCAGGCTTAATACCCACTGGCTATGGGTTTCATTTTAACCCAGGATAGGTACACACAAGTACAGACACACATTTTAAAAATCCCAAATAGCCAGAACTGATGAACTAAAATAAAACGAAGCTATTGCTGGCCTGCGGAGACCACCTCGGCTTTTGAAATCCAACTTTGCAGAAATTAATTTCAGCTTTCCCTTAAAACCCTGTAATTAGGGCAAGCAAGCATTCCTTCACCCCTTTCTTGCTCCCCACAACCTCCCCAGGGTGGCTGGCCAGGCCTGTGCGCAAGCCACCTATAAAGGGGCATTTATTACAAAAAGTTATGAGTTGTTTTTCGTTTTATGTTACCATAAACAACTGCTTCCACACCAGGCCCTTTGGTCCACAGCGGACTGCTGCTAACGCTGGACCGAGGTTTTCCCTTAGATCAGCTCTCAGAACTGCCCTGCCGGTGGGGGGGTGGGGGGAGAGGAAGAAGGGAGGATTTAGGAAGTAAATGAAAGGTAAATCAAAGGTTCAATTTTTCAAGAAAGGGCTGTGGTTTCCACATAACCTTCTCAAACACATCTACCCCGAAACACAGATATTTTCTCTATTGTTTAAAATGCCTGCTAGTGCTTATTTTACATATTCAACAAATTCCTCTCTGGCTAGCAGTCTGCACACCTGAGCCTCGAAGCTGCAGTATTTCACAAATTCCAAGTTCCGGATTGAGGACGACCTCGGAGTTCTTGCAGGCTGGTGGGGCTTCAGGTTCCGGGACAACCTCCTTCGGTGCCCTCACGACTTCGAAAGGCCTGCCCCGAACAAGGGCCTCTCTTAGAAATCCCTTCATTAATATTTAAATACAAAGTAGCGAAAGTGAAGAACGCACCTACCGCTCTCCGGAGTCGCCTGGAAGCCGATCGTGCCCGCGGCGTACGGGTCTTCGGTGGTGCCCTCGCCGGGGCCGGCGCTTCGCTCACGTGCCCACGCCGCACAGGCCCTCGGCCACCAGCCGCGTCCCGGTGCCCGGCGCTCGCTGCCTCCTGCATGGGGACGGCGGGGTGCAGCGCGACGCGGATCCCGCAACTCCGGGCACGGCCGCCCGCGAGCGCACCCGTCTCCAGGCCGGGGATTCGGCACCGCGCGCTCCGTGCCTCCGGGGGCCTGCAGCCTCCGGTCCCCGCATCCGCGCCCGGCGCCGCCAGGGACCTTTGTCCCAGACGAAAACGAAAGCGCGCCGGCCCGCAGGCGCCCACGCCCTGCCGCGGAGGGCCAGACCCGCGCGCCCCTCGACTTTCTCCAAGTTCGCGTGCACCCGGGCGGCCGCGTGCCGGGACCGAGACATGGCCGTCGGGTGGGTGCGGGCGAGCTCGGGGCGCGGGCCGGGCACAATGGGCGCGAGGGGCGGGCCCGGGGGGCGCGGGCCCGGCCGATAGTCTGCTGCCCGGGCGCCCGAGGCGGCGGCGCTGGGCACAGACGCGCCGCGCGCCCGGTGCATGCTAATGGCCGGCGGCCGCGCCATGAATTATTCAGCAGCGGCGCGGAGGGCGGCGGGGCCCGCGTCCCCCGCCGTGGCGGAGCGGCCCCGGCCACTTCCCAAACTTTCCGGAGTCCGCACCGAGGATGCGGCCCCTCGGCGCCACCGTCCCCGCCCGAGCGCGCCGGCCGCGCTTCCCCCGTTGCCGCCTATTTTATGTCTTTTGTCTCGGAGTTGGCACCTGTCCCAGAGAGCGCGTTTCCCTGCCCACCCCTTCACCGCCGGATCGGGGCGAGGGAGGGGGTCCTGGGGACCCGCTGGGGAGGGGGCGGGGGCGCGGGGCACCCGGGGGCCCCGCAGCCTGGGGAGACCGCGCGGGGGGCGCGCCGGGTACCGGGTCCCGCGGGGAGGTCGCGGCTGCGGACGCGCGCGGAATACCAACGAGGCCGTGCCGGCGGCGGCGGGCGAACACCGGGCGCCGCCCCTCCCGGGGTCCCCCACCCTAACCGGCCCGGCACGCCGGGGCTGGGAGGGCGCCGGGAACCGCGGATTCGCCGCCCGCGCCCCGCAGCCCCGCGTGCGCGTCCCCGCCGCCCCGGGCTCCGCCGCCTCCGCCGCGTCCGCGCCCCGGCTC